AGACACTATGCCAAGATATATCAACTACAAGCTGAATCCTCTACTTGCAAGCAGGGGAGAGGAGTCTCTCGATGTACTATTCTGATTTGACATCAATATGGAAAGAACTTGATCACTATCAGAATGTGAATTGGAAGTGTGATGAAGATACAAAGGCCTATAAGTCACTTGTATCTCAGCAACGAGTGTTTGCCTTCCTCCTAGGGTTGAATCCGTCATATGTGTCCATCAGGGTGTAGATCTTGGGTTGTAAAGACTTGCCATCAGTTCAGGAGGTGTATGCCTTGGTGCAATCAGAAGAAAGCAGAAGAAGTGTGATGAATGGTGTAGAAGGGTAGTCAGTTGCCCTAGCTGTCTAGGGAAATTCAGATACAAATGTCGGAGGTGGTTTTAAAAAGGGTGACACTCAGAAAGAAAAAATCAGATGATAAGAGCAAACTTTGGTGCACTCACTGCCAGAAGACATGACACACGAAAGATACATGTTGGGATCTCCATAGAAAACCTAAATGGGCACAGGACTTGGGTAAGAAGTCAGCACCTGATCAGGGCAAGAAACTAGGCCAGCGGAATAAAAAAAGGTATAACTCAACTAATATGGCATCGATACAGACTAGTCCTTTGGTAACTAAGGAGAGGCATCCCAATTCTGACCCTAAGGAAGATATTATCAACTCCTTCCGTGAACATTTGGAATTGTATGGTAGGACTCTCCGCCAGATGGATTCTGGGCCTACTCCCTCTACCTCGTTTGAGTCTACATCAGGTAATGCCACAACCTTCCATGTGTCATCTCATACTATTGATTCTCCTTGGATTATTGACTCCGGAGCCTCAAATCACATGACTAGTAAGTCTAATTTGTTTCAGACATATAACCTTCTCTCTGGGAGAGATAAGGTAAGACTGGATGATGGTTCTTTTTCTACCATAACTGGCGAGGCACCATACCTCTCCCACTTGGCCTTACTCTTCCTAATATACTACACATTCCGAAATTACCTATTAACTTGTTGTCTATTAGTAGTCTGACTCACTCCTTGAACTGCTCAGTCACTTTTTTTTCGTCTTCATGTGTGTTTCGGGATTTGACCTCAGGGAAGACGATTGGTAGAGGAAGCATGGTAGATGGTCTCTACGTGTTGGAGA